CAACTTAAGGCACAAACCATTACATACGCCACATATGCATATAATTCAAAGACGGCAGAACAAACACAAAGGTTGAAATATGGAGATTTGGAGATAGTATTGAAAAATGACCATTTCGAATTCGTTTGCAAAGGTGGTGCAGTGATATCAAATATAAAAGAAATTTTATTTATGAATTCAAAAATTAAAGGAATAACGGATGATATAACATCAATTCCACCAGAAGAACAAAGATATTACGCATTAAATGCATTTCCTAAAGTTTTGAAGATTGGAAGATTTAATTTAAATGAGGAATTCATAAAAGGTTTCCTAAATGACATAATGAAGAAAGCAGATAAGGAATATGTGGCTAGTGTGTTAGTGAAGAAAGCGGATAAGGAATATGTTAATGAAAAAGATAATGAAATTAAAGAAATGGTTGAATGGTACCATGAACGGACATCAAAGATTTTAAAAACTAAAGCCGATACAGGGTGGGTTTCAGGATGTTTAGACCTTAAAGCAGATAAAACATATGTTAACGATGAGTTAATGAAGAAAGCAGATAAAACATATGTTAACGATGAGTTAATGAAGAAAGCAGATAAAACATATGTTAACGATGAGTTAATGAAGAAAGCAGATAAAACATATGTTAACGAAATATACCAAAGTTTGATAGGAACAAAAAATATTGAAACTATTGTTGGTGACTTTTCTATCAATGAAGAAAACAAATATTTTAGATGGGAGTTTGTACACTCCTTAAAAAATGGTATACGGTATAAACTCATTCCGAAAAATAACAATGAAATGTATGTAGGTTATATAAAGAATGATGGTACACAAGTTAAAGTTCCATTAGACAACAACTGCTACTTAAACTTATATGGAGACGAACAAAAGAAATATTTAAGAGTTTATGAAATGACAGATATGACATTGTCTAACCTAGCTCCAGCACCATATTATTATGACTATGGAGATGACGACAGAACACCACATGTAGATGAACAAAAGCTAACATTATATTTAGATTATTATAGATATAAAAGATATAATGCAATAGAAAAAACGAGAATAGTATATTATTATGAAGATGACAGAAATAAATATTATAGTCAAGACTTTACCTACCCTGAAAACATAAGATTATATTATAAAAAATATTCTGACACAAACCAGAAGAAACCTGAAATAGTTACACTATATTTTAAGTTCAAAAGAGACAATCCTATAATATCTCATATGTTTGATTTAATGAACCCAGTAGGTTCTATTTATACATCTATGGATGCAAGAGGTCCTCAAGTAATGTTTGGTGTTGGTGCATGGGAACAAATAGTCGACAGGTTTTTGTATTGTGCAAACTCTTCAAAGGAAACAGGTGGAAGTAAAACGATTTCAGGTGAAAATTTACCTGCACACAGTCACTACATAGATTTAAGTACATCTCAAGCAGGTTGGCATAAGCATAAATATTGGGGTTGGTCAGTAATGAAAAAAGGTAAAGGATATGATGTTAAAGACGACGTTAAGTTTGCTATAAATGGTTACTGGGATGACACTTGGGGAGAAGGAGACCATACACATCGCGTTTCAGGATATACACAAACAACGGGACAAAGTAAAGAATACATGCCACCATTTATGACTGTATTCGCATGGTTTCGCGTTCAATGAACGCTAAATGTTTGTGAAACAAACTTTAGGAGCTCCAAAAGAGTGAACGGCATAATTTAAATTTTTATTTTAGTATAAATGAAGATTCTACCATATGGTGTTATTGGAAGAGATAAAGATGGAAACCCAATATTTGATCCAAAGTTAAAATTCAAGTTACTGACAAGACAACAACTTGAAAAGTTGCTGAAACCAAAACAGGATGAGAAAATGAGAAAGAAAAAAATTTAAATTATGTAATTTTATTTTTATCATAAATGACAAAATTAATTAAGCCAACTATTTCTAAATTAATGATACCAATGAAATCATTTCGTGGAGTAATTATCCCAGGTTCTTCACAATTAGCCGGGGCAAGTGTTCTGACTCAAGGTGGAACATTAGCGAATCCATTCAAATTATTAACTAAAGATGAACTTAATAAAACGATGATAAAATAACTGATAACAAAATTTTATTTCACTACTACCATGTTAACTTCTCTTAAAAATGATGACAACATGACATTTTATTATATTTTTGGTCAAAGCTTCCACGAGAGAAAAGATTCCTCATTCGCTAAGGATTCCAAAAATGAAAAAATCATTGATTTCGGCTGAGAAAAAACAGCAAAACCCTTCTTCCACGGGAATAAAGAAATAAAGAAGAAATAAAGAAGAAATAAAGTAATTTTTTTATTTATTCCCGTGGAAGATAGAGCACTTTTATGACACTTTTTATTCATGACAAACAAGACAAACAAAGAAAATAAGAAAATACGGCGCCGTCGCGGTTCGAACCACAGACCCTGACCCCTCCATAACACCACCTTACACCACTGTGCTACGTAGCCTGTCGACATAAGATTTTATAAATTGCATATTTGACGTAAATTTATTTCCATCTGGCTTCCCACCGCATAAGATATTCATACATGTTTGTAAGACATTCACAAAGCATATACGATGAAGTTTGAATTTATTTTTGCATTAATCCTGCTGTGTTGTCTAAATGTCATGTTGTCTCATTTTTTCAGAGAAGTTAATTAACCGAGTGACACATGGTGACATAGTGACACCTTCAGTTCTTCAAAAATAATTAATTATTGAATAACCTAAAAACCATGAGACTTTGTCTCCGGACTCTTTGAGTCACTTAACGATAAAATAACTGATAACAAAATTTTATTTTTATATAAATGGATACCCCACAAGCTCAAAATTTACCACGAATCATAACAAGGGAGGAAATGATAAAAATGATGCAAGAACATGTTAAAAATAACAAACCACTAAAACTGAGAAAATGTGGTTATGCAGTAATGATGGAAAGAGAGATGTTGTCAAAGAGGAATAAAAATTAAATTTGGATTGAGTTTAAAAATTCATCTTTATTAAATTCATCTCTTCCAATCAATTTATTTATTCTATTAAATTCTTTTATTTTTGCTTCACTCAGTTTAAGGATTGAACGGTAAGTTTCTAATTTTTCGATTATTTCTTTCCTCTCTTTATCGTTTTCAGCCCCACCGCATTGCGACCTCTTTTTGTAATAGCATATTTTTGATTTAATTCTGTTTAGTTTCTTTTTATATTCATTGTCTGGACTCTTGACTGCTTTGTTGTCACTCATTTCTTACGAAATAAAAAACATTAAATATTATTTAAATAATATTTAAATATAATGGAGTAATAAAATAAATCGGAATTTCTATTAATTTATTGTCAACTTCAACTAATGCATTGCCGTTAATATATCTAACAAATTCAGCTATTGTGTCAAATCTTCGTCTTCTTTTTGTCATTGATTTATCAGTTTTTCCATAATCAAGATGAATCAAAACTTTATTCCCTTGTTTAAAATTCATGAGCCCCGAATTAATTTGTTCACGTTTAACATCATTCAACCTTTCCATTTGCTTTCTAATATATTCCCATTCTTTTGAAATATCATTTTTCATTTCCACTGGTTTCATGTTTATAGTTCTATGCCATGTATTATTGTAATAATATACTAACTGCTGTATGATGGAGTCATGATTTCCATCCCAGTATATCTGACCGTTAACCCCTAACGCATCTCTAAGAGTTCTCATTACCGCATCAACTATTTTATTATGAAACGTATATGGAGAGGATGAAAAGTAAAAATTAATTTGTGGGAAATAATGAGTCATAGCTGCCTGAAATCCTTTATCACCATCACCCCTTATATTATCTACTCTTTCATGATCTAGTAAGTATTGAATAGCTCTTCTTGTTTCCTGTTCTGTTTTCCCTTTCACTGGAATGCAATATAAATATCTAGTGTTAATGTTAATGGCAAATAAATAAGTAACGTTTCCTTTTGAATATTCCAGATGATCGATTTCGTATGAATATGGATATGGTGCAAATGAAGGGCGACCAAATTTTTCCTTTAACGGTTGAATTTTTGGGTCAGTTGGTTTATTTAATATTTTGAAATCCTTTTTAAAATCTTTTTGCTTCTTTAATGTTTGAAATGGATATAATAAAGTGAATGATGAAGGATTAACAGAAGGAGGAGGTACTACTGTTGAAGGTTTTGGTGTTGCAAGTGGTTTAATTTTATCTGCTTTGATTTTGGATGATGAAGTTTTGGATTTCATTCCTTCTTCCATTAATTCTGGATGTATTCTATTCATTTGTTTTAAATATGCTGTATATAAAGGTTTGATATACTTTCCCGCTTCGAGTTTATGTTGAAGGATGAATTCCAAAAGTTGATCTTCATTTAAAAGTCGGGCTGAATATGGTTTAACTAATGAATCATAAATTAAAGCTTGTGCATCATTTATGGTCTGAAGGACCTGGGTGTTTTGTTCCTTTAGCTTTTGCGGCTCAGGATTATATAATTTATATAATTCATCAATATCTTCTTCTGTTAATACTTTATTTTTGAAATCTTTCAATTGTTTAAGTTGTGATTTAGTTTTTCCCTTTGTATATTCATTATTTTTAATTTTGTCTTTAATTTTAGAAATTATTTTATCATGATATTTCAAAATTTCATTTTTATAATACCGATAATAATATTCCATATCATCACCTGTTATATTGTTATTATGTTTTTGAAGATATGATTTTAATTCATAATAATTAAGAAATTTTTGATTAAGTACTAAATCATCAATTAAATTTTCTAAATCTACGTTATCCATTTATATAAAAATAAAATAAATGTTTTAAGGGTGCCCACCTCTTTGAATCATAGTATCAAAACCATTATTTACATATTGAATCACATTATTAACGGTTCCTTTTGTCTCTTCTGTGGCATTTTATTAAAAATAAAATTTTAAATTCATGACTCAACCCCTACGTTTTTAAGTTGTATTAAATAAATGGCATACAACATCCATTTTCACAACATACAGCCTTAGTGTGTGCTCCTGTTAATGCAGTCTTACCAATTGTTAAGCGAGTCATTGACCCGTTTTTAAGTTGTAAATTAATATTCTGACCATCAAATATCACTTTATCATTTATTATATCCAAATAATTTTTAGGTGTTAATTGTTTATTTTGTCGTAAACTAACACCTTTCATTTTTTGTGCAATCTTTTTAAAATCACTTCCATCAATTGAACCGTTGAATGATGTATAACACTTGGGGCATAAAGCAACCATGTTATCACCTTGTTTCTCAATTGCTAAACCCAATAACTTCTTCTCATGTGCTTTTTCTTCAGCTTTATTCTTTAATTTAGGTTTAAATTTCTCATCAAAACAGAAGAAATCAAATGGTGCGAATTTGAAAATGTTTTTATCATAAAATTGTTTATCGGTAACAATTGCTTGAAATGCTTGAGTGTTAGGAAGATTTGGGTCGCCAGCGATTGCCCAATAAGATGAATCAGTATCACCTTCAATGAAATGAAAACGATTAACATCCATGCATTTATACATAAAATCATAAATGAAAACCAAATACCAGTATTTAGCATTATCTAAAGTGAAGAATGCCTCTTGTAAACATGTATCACATCTATAAAATCTATCTTTGAGCATCACTTGATATGTATCCTCTCCTATTTCTCTTATGTTTTTAAACTTATTTGACATACATGCAACGCGTGCCTTCTGTGCATTCATTATTTTAGTCTTTGCGTAATTTTGTGTATTCATTGCATCGTAACCATATGATCCATTAAGTGAAATCTTGCAAAATAAACTTTTTCCTTTATTTCCTTCTAATTCAGCCTTTTGTCTTTCATTCATAAATTCGTTCGCAAATTCATTAAAACAAGTGTTTTTAGTAAATGTTAAAATTGATTGAATATCATCGATGATAAAATGAAATCTGTCTATTAGATACCAAAGATAATAAGAAGAAAATGGTTGATATTGGTTGTGTGTTGATGCTAACTGAGTTAATTTTCTTTGTTTCTGGTCAACTGGTAGATTGTTTGATTTCATGTAATTATACATAAAACTGCCAATTGTTTTTTCATCTGTGATAATATCCAAGTTTCTTATTATCGGTAAAAAGTTTATGTAATCATTAATGTATTTTTCATCAATGTGACCCTTTACTTCAGCCACGAATAAAGTATTTTTCTTTCTAATAATTCCCAATGCTTTTGCTTTCTTTGTTGCTGTATCACAAATGATAACACCATTCAATCTTCCCGGCATATACATTTTATGGTTAGTATATTGAATGAAATCATGAGGATTAGATGAAAATGATGAAGGATATAATGAATTAAAATCAACTCCAACAAAATGAGTCATAATGTTGGTGGTGTCCTCATTTGATACAGTTTTAGTTTCTGGATTATATGAAAGTTTATTAATGTGCGTGATTCCTTTAAGATTTACTCTATGTTGAACATTTGATAAACCACCAGTAATTCCATTACGGAGAATGTGATAAGCTTCAACTGAATCTAAAGTCATTGGTAAATTATTTTTTAATGCATAATTTCTTAAATTGATTCTTAAACGTTGAACATCTTCATCTTTATTTGATTTTACGACATTGCAATAACAACACATTAACTGACAATTTTCTTTGGTATGTGGTTTTTCATTATCGATTCTATCCAATGTTGGTTTATTTGCATATGTAAACGCTTTACCACACATTTTGCATTTAGATGAAAGGATTAAATCGTGATAGTATTGAAAATCATCCATTGAAACATTATTTTTAGTATCCCTTTCTGCTTTTTCATCTTGTTTCTTATATGATTCAATTTTATATTTCCAATACTTTTTCGTTAATTCAAAACTTGATTCTATCTCTTCCTCAGGATATTTTTCATTAGGATTAAAGTCTTTATATGCTAAAGCGTAACGAATCATTGAAGCATTCGATGATAAAGAAAGATTATGGAGCATGTCAATTTTATAAACAAATGTTTCTTCAATAATTTTATCAATTGGGTCAATCATAATTTCAACATCTTTATTGCAATAATGAATAAAATATTCTAATCTATTCTTAAAGTTTTTAGCATCATTGAGATATATTTGATAATCTGAATCGGATATAGTTTCTTGAGTTAATGCTGAATAAAATGAATCTTGAGTGAATGGTTCCACTTTATATAATTCTTCTTCGTAATTCTCCCATGTGATGAATTGATAAGGGAAAAAGGATTTAACACGTGATTTATTGTTTCCGAAATCTTGAGTGAATTGGTCTAATGTTCCACCCGCTATATAATTTCTGATGTCAATAAATCTTAATTCATATGGACAGTTTGTTTTCTTTACAATGACTTGCTTAAATTGAGAAGAAGAACCCAGCATTGATTTTATCTTCCATTTTGCAGTGTTTAAATCACGAAGAATTAAATTTAAATCAAACTTTCCCGAATTAAAACCAATGATATTTACTTTATTAAATTCTTCATCTAGAAGTTCTTTAAATGCTTCCTTCTGTTTTTCATTTAATGTATGGGACAAAGTCCCCACCGTTTGGTCTGAAAGACCTTCAGGACTCAAAGAGTCCGTTTGCGGCTTCAATAATTCTTCATATTGTTCAATATTTGATTCAACAACTAATGAACAGGTTGAAAATAAAAATTCAATCCAATCAGAGATGAACGAATCACTTGATGTTAAGCAAAAATTCCTCGTAAATGTTTTATCACGGTCTACGACCTCGCCGCTTCGGTCTACGACCTCAGGACTCAAAGAGTCCGTTTGCGGCTTTATTTTGACAGTTGATGATACCATAAATGGTTTTAAGTAAGCGTTCAAAGTTGCACATTCGGAAAGTTGAAGTTCTTCTTTAGTCTCTAATGTTTCGAAGTCAAAAGTAATATAATATCTTGTTGGTTTATAATATTCCTGCAAATTATGTGCTAATAGCCATTGATATATCTTCTGTTTCGTGATATGTGGTGCATATGGTTGTTGTGTGTTTTGCAATTGAACGTCTTGAATTAATCTTCCATTATTTTCTTTACATTTCTCACAATGTTTTAAAAATCTTCTTTGGTTTTTCCTTTCTGGATCATCACGGATAGAATATACTTCTTCTTTGCAAAAGGGGCAAACTTTATATCCTGTGAGTGCTTCAACGTCTGTAATTCTGTCAGCGTGAAGTTTTCCACATGGACTCTGTGTTAATAAAATATTTACTGTTTCAAATTCTGGATCTATCATTATTGATTCCACTAATGGAAAGTCTACCTTATTTATGTCCACGTCTTCTGGTTGAGGATCACAATAATAGAAATCAATATTAACGTTTAACATTCTTGCTAATCTCTCACTTTCTGATGAAATGTCAAACCCTTCATATGCATCTATGGCTTCATTTAAATAGCTTCTACGAGTTTTAGGATTAGCACCATCAGGAATGTTATAGAAGCGTTTAAATAACCTTCTACCTTCTGCTCTAATTTGATTATCATTCATTTTTGCTGTTCCGTTTTTGTTCATTTATGTAAGAATAAAAATTAAAAAAATAAATAAAAATAAAGTTTATTTTTTTTAAAGTCCGAGACTCAGAGAGTCCAGGGCTAAAGTCCATAAAATGAATTAAGAACACATAAATTTTTATCATCTGCGACGTGACGAATACATTTTAATTTACTCAAGAATGCGTACCCTGATACATTAAATCTAATTCCTGTCTTATTTAATTTCACAACTTTGAAAAGGAATGTATGAATAGCTATAAAATGATGAGATGATGTTTTATGGGTTGCTTCCATTTTTTCTGAAATAAATGAATAAATATAATGTTTATAAGTTTTCATATCTTTTATGTTCTTAATAACGAATGGTATAGACCTTTCAACTTCGTCTTCCTTCGGTGCTGTTCTTTCATATGAAACATTATTGGTATCTTCAATAATGAAACCACAATCGCATAAAATTTTATATGTACCAATGGTTTCTTTTGATATTTTATCTAATAAATCAAAAACTTTATCAACACCTGTGCATTTATTTAAATAATAATTTGTGTAAATATCATGGTCTTCTTTCTTAATCGTATTTGTTGCATATGTTACATTTTTCAGTGCTTTTTTGAATTTTTCAGAATCTAAAGGTGGTGAAAGCAGGATACAAGGATAATCTTCATCGTCAATAAACTGAAGCTTATGTTTATGAATAAATTTTGTACCTTCTTCTGAAAGTGTTTCGTCAATATCACCATCTAATAAATTTTTAGTAGATTCCAAAAAGTAATTTTTATATCTTTCCTCATGTGATTTTTGAACTTCTGATTCTGAAGCTGGGATATTCATTAAACCCTCTACTTCATTCTCATTATATTTTTCAACTTCTCTTAATTCCTTAATTCTTTCATCTATTTCTTTTCTTGATTGTTCCAATTTCTCAATCTCATCGTTATAATATTCATCTTGTTTAATCCGTTCTTCATAATATTCAGGGAAAACATCAGGTTCTTTAGGTTTTTCTTCTTCAGATGTGGGATATAAGAAATTTATAACATCATCTTTATTCATTTTTCCATCATAATCAAACTCATTTAAAAACTCCGCAAATTTTTTACAATTTCTTAAATAATATTTATCAACTTCATAACCTGCCTCCTCTAATATATCCTTTATTTCCTCGTTTGTGAATCCTAAATTTTTAACATCGTTAGTTTTGACGCTCATTTCATACAAAATAAAAAATAAAATAATAAACATAACTAAGTTTTAATTTTTCGTAAGACATGAATTTTTAAAGTTTATTTTTTAAAAAAATATTTTTTATTTCATTATGGTAGTGAATCTTTCATTCATGAAAATAATTATTTCTAATTTCTTTTACTCTCTCGTACATACTAGATTTGAAGAATTCGGAACTTTTACCATAATCTCCTAAATGTTTTCTTATCTTATTGGTTTTCCATTCATTATATGAAACTGTATAAACTTTATCTTTATCTTTGCATCTTTCATCACTTCCAATATATTTATATTTCAATTTTGATTTAACGGTTTCATATTCATTAACGTTTAATAATTCACAGTCTTCCTTTTTAAATAAATGTTTTATGTATTCAGGATTAACAATTCTATAATATTGCTTCCCTTTAAATCTTTGAATATAAACAGGAACACCATCCTCTAAAATTCGATAATCTATTTTATCTGGTTTTACTTGTTGGGTCATTTATGTAAGAATTAAAAAAATAAATTATTCAAAAATGTAAGACATGAATTTTTAAAGTTTGTTTTTTAAATTTTTTTATTTTTTTTATTTCATTATGTATGGGTTGAGTGTAAATGTCTTACGTTTTTGAAAATTTTTTAAATCTTGATTTATTCAAAAACGTAAGAATAAAAACCGTAAGAATCATACATTTTTTACTTCGTATGTAAAAAAAAATAATACAAAATTGCTCGATATTGTATGAATTCTTACGTTTACAAAAAAAGTCACAAAACCCATCATATTATACTACTTTTTATATCATCATTTTACCGGATTATTCTTCAGTACATCGATTGTGTATCTAAAATAATATCATTATCCTTATTCTGTTTTTTCCAAAATTCTTTTAAATATCTTTTTTGGTTAGATTACTTTATACTTTTTACTTTTATTTTTTAATTTCAAAAAAAATTTGGTGATTGTTCTATTCTGTTACAATGTGCATTTGTTGTAAACAGAAACTCATCAAAAGTGACACATCAGAAAAGCTAAAATATTGAATTTTTGGAACTTTTGATAGAGCACGTTTTTAAATATTAATTAAAGTAAATGTATATTTTGTAAAGATTCTTTTTAATAAAAAAGTAAAATTTTGAAGAAGAACACAAAATCTTCTGAAAAATAATATCACATAAACTCATATTATTTTCTAATATATAACTATTTTATATAAAAATCAAATTCAATGATCTTAAAAGCGAAGGATAAACCTCAAAATTTACGAATATAATGAGTGGGAATATAATGCTTATCTATCATAAAACCATATGAAATATCAATTTTTGCTTTACGCCTAATTTTTGACGACAATTAGCAAAAAATGTTAAATGTTAACACTCAGTCCATTTGAATATGAAAAATAAAATTGACTTTGATTAAATGTTTTTATTTATCATGCAATTCTTCTTGCGACCAAAGATTTGAATAAAAGTTCAAAAAATAAGATAGCTTAAAAAATAATATACGGTAGTGTTTACTAATAGATGAATAGTATATAAATTCTATTAAAATGGATTTGATCCAAAAAAATATAAAATCAAAAATAATTGTTATAATTTAAATGAAGAAGTAATTTAAAACGATTTTATTTATGATCAAATTTTATATATTTTTTTGGATCAAATCCATTTTAATAGAATTTATATACTATTCATCTATTAGTAAACACTACCGTATATTATTTTTTAAGCTATCTTATTTTTTGAACTTTTATTCAAATCTTTGGTCGCAAGAAGAATTGCATGATAAATAAAAACATTTAATCAAAGTCAATTTTATTTTTCATATTCAAATGGACTGAGTGTTAACATTTAACATTTTTTGCTAATTGTCGTCAAAAATTAGGCGTAAAGCAAAAATTGATATTTCATATGGTTTTATGATAGATAAGCATTATATTCCCACTCATTATATTCGTAAATTTTGAGGTTTATCCTTCGCTTTTAAGATCATTGAATTTGATTTTTATATAAAATAGTTATATATTAGAAAATAATATGAGTTTATGTGATATTATTTTTCAGAAGATTTCATTCTATATGCCTATGAAAAGTACTCTCAAAACTAACTTTTCCTAATTATAATTAAATCTAGAATATTGTATTATGCTTAGTATTATTTCATTTTTCTCATTCAATTTAGAATTTACAAATGTCAAAAAATTGAGAGCTGTCACTTTTGATGAATTTCTGTTTATTACACTTTATCCATATTTGATTAATATTAGTTAGTGTTTAGCTATTATTGCTGAATAATTGAATTCTTCTCAATAATTTGTGCGGAATTTCTAAGGGTTATATTGAAAGGGAAATCAGAGAGAATTTATAAAAGATATCCATGCTTTAATTTGAAATGATCACCTTTTTACAAAGATTTATTATCGATATCTAATTTTTTTAAAGAATTCATTTCCTAGATAATAGGAAAGTAGTCATTACATATAATATTATTAATACAACATTATTTATTAATAATGACCATTAGATTTTTAAATTCAATGGTTAACGATTTATATGATGAGCTTATGCAGTTAAGCAAAGATTATAACGATAATTTTAATTCGTTGTACAGACTACATACTTACAATGAAGATGAAATCAACAATATTTTCCAAGTTATCAAAAGAGAATTGATACAATCTAAAATGTTCTTACCATCTCAGCTCTTAAAAATACTTTCAACGGCTTCAAAATACAATTGCAGATATTTTAAGTCATACTGGTCCCTATTTAAGAAATTATATGAAGAGTATCACCCAAGAGTCCCCAAACACACATCAATTCCTTTTCTTTACTTTCTTTATAAAGAATTCGGCATATTAATTGACTACGATATTGTTAAGCTTGAATCCCAAAATTTTTCTTTAGATGTTCATGAAAAAGATTCTATTCACAGTGCAATCATGACCGATGACAAAGAGTTATTTATATCTCTTACAGAAAAAGAAGGTTTTAATGAAAGGCAAAACCTGAAAAGTGAATTTTATCCAGAATCAAAATACGGATATTCTTTACTTGAATTATGTTGTTATCATGGCGCAGTCAATTGTTTTAAGTTTCTTAGAACAAAGTTTAAACCATTGATTAATTCAAATTGCCTGAAACTTTCATTTTTAGGGGGAAATCCGGACATAATTAATGAGTGTTTGAAAGAGACAAAACCATACGATAGCTGCATGGAATATGCAATTATTTCACATAATATCGACTTTGTTACTTATCTTATGAACGAACACAATTTGAAAATCGAAATGGAATATTGCCATAAATATAATAATCTACAAGCGTTTTTAGTTTATTTAGATACATCAAAGAATTACAAGAAGTGTTTTCCTTTTTCAGTTCGTTTCAATTTTCCATCTCTTTGCGAATATTTGATATCTCATGGTGTAGATATAAATACACGTGATAAAAATTATTATTCAGCCTTTTTTCATGCAGCACAATATGGGAACAGATTAATTGCAGAATTTCTTATTTCACACAATATAAATATGGATAATTGCAAATCTAATTTTCAAATTGCTGTACAATCTGATAATAAAGATATTGCTGAGCTTCTTATATCGCGTGGTATTGATGTTAATACAAAATTTGATTATAAAAAAAAGCTCTTCATTATGCAGCACTTTCAGACTGTGCTGAGACAGTAAAAATGCTTATTTCACATGGAATAAATATAAATGATGTTAATGAACTTGGAGAAACAGCTCTTCATTATGCTACATATTATGATAACATAGAAACCGTCAAGATTTTACTTGAAAGCGGTGCAAATATCAATACCAAGAAAAACACTGTAGCTACAGCTCTCCACAATGCAGTTGATCTAAATATTGAAATTGCCAAATTACTAATCGCTCATGGCGCTGATGTCAATACTTTCGATAATAATTCAAAAACACTTCTTCATAAAGCAGCGCAAAAAATCGGTATGATATGGTTGAACTTTTTATATCAAATGGAGCTGATGTTACAGTAATAGACGAACAAGAAAAAACTCCTCTACACTATTTAGCAGAATATTTACTTTGGAATAAATATAAATATGATCCACCAATATTTGGCTATGTAAAAATAGCTGAAATATTAATTTCAAATGGAACTGATGTGAATGCTAAGGATATTAATGGAGCAACCGCTCTTCATTTAGCAGTTCAATCATCTAATTTTGATTTAATACATTTTCTTATATCGAGTGGTGCTGAAATCAATGCCTTAGATAAATTTGGAAAAAACGCACTTCATTATGTTTCATCAGATGAAGTAGAAATTTTAATTGAGGAGCTTATTTCAACTGGAATAGATATTAATGCAAAGGATCATGAACAAAAATCTCCTCTTCATAATGCTTTGATAAAGGGATATGAATTAATAGGGGAAATTCTTATTGAACGTGGCGCAGATGTCAATGCAAAAGACAATAAAGGAAGAACAGCCTTACATTATGCAACAATGAATAACCTTTCTGTTATTATTACAGATCTTTTGTCACACGACGCTGATATCAATGCAAAAGATTATAAAGAGAGAACTGCTCTTCATTTGGCTTCAAAACACTCAAATCACGGAATTAGAGAGCTTCTGATTTCTAATGGAATAGATGCTGATGCCAAAGATATTTACGGAAAAACTGCTCTTCAATTATAGAAAAGGAAAGCAAAGAAAATCATTTCCATGGACTAATGGAATTTGATGATTAATGATTGGCACTTATTAGAATTATTTTATACAAACTCTAAATAAAAATATTTTGATAATTGTTTAAGTTGTTTATAGAAGTTTTATTATTCAATTTTTGGGTTGTGATGATATTCACGGTTTAATTTTCGATATTTGCTAATTTTGCAATATTTTGAATAATACAGTATTGCTCTTGATAAAAACATTTTATTTTTTTATTTTTGATGAATTCGTCGCGATTAAAAAAGTTAACTCCGATGAATTCTTCGAGAATTATCACATCTAGTAGACCACAGTCAACTCTAAATTCTTCTCGAACTATCAGAATAACAACTCAACGGCCTGAGAAACGTACAATCCGGGCGAGTACAACTTCAATTTCAGGAAATCAAAGCTTATCCGAACAATTTACTAGATTAAATCAAGAAATTGCCCAAATTCAGTGCGAAGTAAAGCCCTTAAGATCTCAATACATTGCATTACAAAATTCACTTCTAGAAAAACAACAAAAATCTAACTTCAATGATGAAATTGACCCTGAAGATGACGATCAAGCTGTTAATAAAGAAGAATTTCAAACAGCAAAATTTAAATTTGAAAATGAAAGCGTTAAATTACAAAAACAGCTTGACATGATTAGGTCTGCACTTTCAATTACTCAAATTAATACACTAGAAGAGGAAGAAGAGAATGGAAAGCGTTTAGTACAAACTCTTCGAATGAATATCATGCAAATGGATGAAGAAATAGATAAGCAGCAAAACCAGATTAATTCATACAGACTTTCTCAGATATATGATACAATTCAAAAGCAAAAAGACGAAATTCAAAAACTATCTCAAGAATTACAAGACGAAATTACTAAACATGAGCAGCTTAGAGCCCAGAGAGATGGGTTCGAAGAGTCTTCAACGATGTCAAGCGAGTTTGCAGAAGACGTTAATCAGATCGGTAGACTCAAAAGGAAGCTTGAAGCAGCAAGGAGAAAGCACTTCGAAAAATGCAAAGTATTCCTCCAGTTAAGGAACAAGCAATTGGCTGAAATTGAAGAGGTGAAAGCGGCCATCAACAAAGACAATCTTGCTGACGATAATTAGCTTAACATCAGTTCTTTATGTTATTTTTTCATACTATGATTTGTTTGTTAAATAATATTATTAATAATTTGTTTGGATGAATATTTAACCAATTATACTATGTCTTTTGGAATTTGGGCCCAATATAAATTATGGAAATCTTTAATGTTTGATGAAATGAGGCTTTTTAAAATAAGCGGATCATTGGATTGCCTATTCCTATTAGAACAAAGAAAGTTTGACCAATTTTCAAATGTTGTAATTGCTTACAACATTGTAAGAAAACATTGACAAAAAATAATGATGCAAGAGGCTTGAGATTCAGAATGAAATATAAACACATATACAGATAGTTATTAGTGAAGTTTGGCGCCAATTGTATGTTGGGATTCTGAGATATGAATAATGAGAAATTGAATGGATGAAACTCAGACTTGAGTTTTGAAATTTTTAATGTTTGTCGAATTATTCAATGAGTACTCATTGATTCTCTAAGAAATTCATTTCTGAAAATCCAATTTCTTTTTCAAAATATTCAATGAATGTTTTCAATTTCAATTTATATATTTATGGCTAATGAGGAATTGTTAGAAACCATTTGTAACCAAATCAAGAGCGAGACAAAAGACTTTGAAGAGATTATTAATAAATTGTATCACTTAACCATTGAAGATGGGGACCAATTGGGCAAAATTTTTAATGATATCAAATCGATTTTAATTGACAAATACAAAATCGAACGTATTACAATTGTAAGACTCCTTACTAAGGCTTCGTGCATGAATCATCGTTCTTCCGAACAATATTGGAATTTATTAAAATTATGCTTTATTAATTTCAAATTAACACAATCAGAAATTGAGAATTTAGATACAAATCTAGCAATTTACTTACAAGGAGACATTTCATTTGATGATCTTGAAATTCCTTATCAATTTAGGATGCCAAAGAACGACGAACTGCATCATATTATAATGTATGATGACATTAAAATGTTTCTCGAATATATATTGCAAAATGATTTAAAGCCAAAAGAATTATTTCATTTTACTAGTAGATCAGAGCCATTATATCCTATTGAATGCTGTTCATTCTACGGAGCAGTTAATATTTTCTATCATTTACTCAATAATTTCAACAGTGAAATTACAACATTTTGTATGGAGGTTTCATTTATCGGAGCGAACATAGATATTATTAACGAATGCGTTAAAGTCAAAAAGCTTAATAGAAAGGCATTGAAAAATGCAATTTACTCATATAATAATAAGATATTGACGGAAATTTTAGAGAAATCTGACTTAAAAATAAGCTCCAAAGCAGCAATAAAAGCTCTAAATCAAGAAGCAATGCTAATGGCTATCAAATATAACTTTGACGACTTCATATTATATCTTGCTTCTTTTCCTTTTCAAAATTATTCAATACCATTGCTCAAAGTATATATTGAAGGCAATGAAGAAGTGAAAAAGGATATAGATAAACTTCAGCCAATATTTTTGAGTTCAATTGTAAATAATCGTATTGAACTCTGCAAGTTTTTACTTTCTCTTAATGTTAATGTAAATTATGACAAATTTGAAGACCAACCGCTTCAATATGCAGCAATTTATAATAGAAAAGAAATTGCAGAAATTTTAATTTCTCATGGTGCAGATGTCAATCAAAAGAATGAACATGGATGGACACCACTCCAAAGATCTGCTTATTTCAATAACATAGAGATAAAAAAATATTACTTTCACACAATTGTGAAATTGATTTGGAAGATAACAATGGATTCACAGCATTGCATTATGCAGTCAGAGATGATATCGTTGATATCTTGAATTTACTAATTGAAAATGGAGCAAAAATTGATTCAAAAGATGTTGAAGGAAAAACTCCTTTTTACAAAGCAATCTTATTCAATTCATTACGAGCTGCTGAAATATTCTTAAAGCATGGAGCCGAAATTAATGTGATATCAAAATCAGGCAAATCATTACTACATGAGTCATCAGTTCTGCACTCAAAAGAGACAGTAGAATTTCTTATTTCTCATGGTATCGATATTAATCGAAAAAATAAGAAAGGAATGACTCCTTTAGTTGTTTCTATTCTAAATGAAATGCAAGATGTTTCGCTAATTCTAATTAACAATGGCGCAGATATTAATGCAGTAGATAATCAAGGATTTCCAATTCTTTATTATGCACTTTATGCAAAAATGGAATACGTTGCATCAGTATTAATAGAAAAAGGTGCTAATGTAAACTATAATTTTCAAGATGGAACAAGTCTTCTTGAGCTTGCAAAACGTGATAATTCATACGAAATTGTAATGTTACTTAAGCTATATGGTGTAGAAAAAGAATCTGATAGTGATGAAATAGAAAATTTTGAAAATATTGTTATTGATCATAACAACAAACCATCTTCTTTGCATTTTGATTGCGATGCTGACACAAATTTAGGATAGAATGAAAATCAAATATAAAATTCATTCATGTTTTATAAAATGTATATTGTTTTATTGCTTATGTTTTTAATTTTTCGGGATGTGATCTAAGTAAGAGCGCTTTGGGCGTTTTTGAGTTATAGATATAAAGTTCACTCATTTCACATTGAATTCTAAAATTTTATAAAAATCTTGAAAGGAAAAATGTGAATATTTAAACTTAAAAGGGCTCTTTAAGGGGTAAAAATGTCAAGGCACTATGGCCGAGTGGTTAAGGCGTGGGATTTGAGTCCCCATGGGCTTGTCCCGCATCGGTTCAAATCCGGTTGGTGTCGTTTTTTTGCTTTTTGCACAAATACATTCACGCATAACTGATAAGATCAAAAAATATCAATTTCTGCTCACTTGTAGGTCAATTTCTATATATGTATTTTAAACTATTCGAATGTGCTTTTATCATTCATGACAATTAAAGTGATCAGAAGCATTGTTCATATCATCGGAATCATTGCAACAAAAAATCTCATTGGCTCATTACATTAAAGAATGTTCAAAACAATCGTGACATTAATATGAACAGTTTTGATTGTCACTTTTCAATTCAAAAATTTGATTTGCTTATAGAATTTTGTTAAAGAAACGAGACAACATTACATGTAGATTTTGTAAAACAAAATAAATGGAAGATGAAATTGAAGATAGAACATTCTTTATTCAATTCTTTCTTTTCATTGGAAACTAATCATATCATTTAACATGTGCTTTCTGAATATAAGAGCTCTAGTTCGATTTCTATTGGCAAAAATAGTCTTCTACTCTATATTTTTGATCTTATCAGTTATGCGTGAATGTATTTGTGCAAAAAGCAAAAAAAAAACGACACCAACCGGATTTGAACCGATGCGGGACAAGCCCATGGGGACTCAAATCCCACGCCTTAACCACTCGGCCATAGTGCCTTGACTTTCATTTCAAATGAGTCACTTATAATGTATTACAGAGTGGTTGGTGTTGGGGTTTAAGGGCCACCTGGCCTCCTCAACACCTGGGTACCCAGAAAAAAAGTGGTTTTAAAAACAATCTTAAGAATGACATAACTATATTATTAATATTGTGCTACAAAAAATTAGATAATATCCAAAATTTACCGATATTTACTTGAATGATTTTTGGTATTTAAACATTAGTATGAATATTTTGACAAATAAGCTTCAAACCAGAAAATAAATTACATTGCCATAGTCATCCATATTCAATAACAATACAAATTAACTCAATAAATCGTGATTCTACATCTTTCAACCACCTTTCAATTTAAATGATATATAATGCGTTATAAGTTAAAACAATCAATTCCGAAGTGATAAAGTATCAATTTATTTTCAATATTTCAAGTTTTCATAAACAAACATAATAAACATGTACAATATATAGTCTCCCACTTGCTCTAACAAAAGTAATATAATTTACACAATTAAAGCCGTTTCAGTTATATTATCGTTGTTACTACGCTTGTTGATAATAAACCTTACAACAAAGAAAGCAGCAACAGCTATTAAAGCAATAATAACTAATGAAACAACAATAGCAACTGTTGTCTTTGATTTTCCACTAGAAGATGTATTGCTCTCTGATATATTAGTTTGGTTTGTTGGCGGAGTTGAAGGTGACGAAGATGAAGGTTCTGAAGTTGGTATTTCAGGCTTTTCAGCTCTTAATTTATGATATTTTTTCAAGAAATCTCTATTTTCTTTGAGATTTGTTTCATTTCCAAGATAAACAAGTGGCATATGACTTTGTTTGTAACCATTGATTGTCATTGAAGCTCTCATACCTGGATCGTGCCATAAAGTTGTCATCTTCAAATTTGTATCTAAGTTTGTAGTAAAAATAACAATTTCACTCCAATTAGATGCTGCCATTATGAACTCCTCTCTCCAATCTCCTAAAATATCACCATGGAATAAAGGATAATCTCCATCATCGTCATATTTCAAATCTGTCCCATATTTATTATTAAACAAAGTGGTTGAAGTTAGGTAACGAATAGATTTGTTATTTTCAGCATCAAATTTAATAACTAATCCTCGATTGATGGTAGAAGGACTAAGGGTTCCCTCCCAGTACAAATTGTTTGCTGGCCATAAGAAATCGGTGAAATTTTCAACCAATAAATCATTTGTTTTCTCATTATATAAACCATCGAACGAATATACTTCATAACCTGGCTTTGATGGATCAAAATCACCAGCATTGCCTCTTCCTAAGTCATGAACATATGTGATAGCACATTTTATTAAATTACGAGAAACATATATATATGTGTATATTGTAGATATAGTACCTAAATCTATGAAGTTCTCATATATTCAAAATGATTTGTTGGATGTTAAATTTTCATAGATGATGGAGTATACCACACAGATCAACTTTTCTCTCAAACTTGATCTTACTATAGTCGAAAGTTTTTCGACTGTGAGGTTATTTTCACAGCACAATATTATTTTTCTTATGATATTTTTATCATCGCTTTATCATCATTAAATATTCAAATCTCCCCCTTTTTTTTAAAAAAAATACTTTTAAGAATTTTTTTAGTAAAGGTTAGTAAAACGAAATCTAACATTAACCAAAAAAAAAAAAAGGTAGTGGGGCTTCCAGGCACTTCGTGCCTTCTAGCCCTGATGTTGATGTTTAGTATAAATGAAGTTTTTATTCGGAAAATTGTTAGTCTTCTGGGTCGAAAACATTATATATAATGTGTCGCTTTTCACAAATTATATATGTTTTCATGTTTTGTCAAGACTTCTTCGTAAATGTTTTGTCAAGACTTCTTCGTAAATGTTTTGTCAAGACTTCTTCGTAAATGTTTTGTCAAGACTTCTTCGTAAATGTTTTGTCAAGACTTCTTCGTAAATGTTTTGTCAAGACTTCTTCGTAAATGTTTTGTCAAGACTTCTTCGTAAATGTTTTGTCAAGACTTCTTCGTAAATGTTTTGTCAAGACTTCTTCGTAAATGTTTTGTCAAACATGAACGTAAATGTTTTGTCAAGACTTCTTCGTAAAATCAGACAAAAATAATGTTTAGGTGAAGAGGTGAGATTTCACCTGTTTTTTCACCTAATTTTTCACCCTCTTGAATTTTCATGAATTTTACACCAAAAATAATGTTTAGGTGAAGAGGTGAGATTTCACCTGTTTTTTCACCTAATTTTTCACCCTCTTGAATTTTCATGAAATTTACACCAAAAATAATGTTTAGGTGAAGAGGTGAGATTTCACCTGTTTTTTCACCTAATTTTTCACCCTCTTGAATTTTCATGAAATTTACACCAAAAATAATGTTTAGGTGAAGAGGTGAGATTTCACCTGTTTTTTCACCTAATTTTTCACCCTCTTGAATTTTCATGAATTTTACACCAAAAATATACTACTAGGGTCATTTACGAAGAAATCTCAACAAAGTCTTTACGATGAAATCTTGACAAAACATAGACAAGAAAGTTCATGAGAAATTAGATGAAGAAGTCTTAACAAAGTCTTTACGAAGAAATTCATGAAAATTCAAGAGGTGAGAAATGAGGTGAAAAAAGAGGTGAAATCTCACCTCTTCACCTAAAATATATTTTTGGGTCATTTACACTCATTTACGAAGAAATCTCAACAAAGTCTTTACGAAGAAGTCACAATAAACATCTGTCAAAAGCCGCTTTTTAACTTCGCTTAAAATGCCACGTAAGCTACGTAAGAATATACGTAAGAGGAAGAGAGCATTGAAACATCCAATAGTAAAACTGACACCACAACAACAGTTGCAACAACAAATGCTGAATGACCCCACTATGTTGCAACAAATGTCAAGCAATCCTATGCTTTTAAACCGAGTTGTTGGTGCACAGAGTGGAGGTTTAAGAGCGGCACTTTTAGCGAAAATGGCAGGCTATGGTGGAGCTGCAGACGGAACAGCCTATAACCCTCAAAGTCAAATGAATTTGAGTTCACTCAAAAATCAAATAACAGATGTCAAAAAGTCAAACATAGACATACAGAAACAAATAAGTGAAAACGAAAAGAAACTAGAATATGACAGACACACAAAGAAACTAAATGAGTTAAACGTAGAGAAAAAGAAGAAAGAAGAACAACTGAAAGAACTAAGTACAGAGGAATATGCGAAAAAAGTGTCAGAAAAAGCAGCAGAAGTAGCAAAAATGGAACAAGATGTCATAAATTTGAAAAACCATACTACTCAATATAAAGTACTGAAAGATGAAGAAATAAAACAAAAAGCCCTGAAGACATATATGGATAGCGATGAGTATAAAAAAGAAGTTGAAGCAACTGTAAAGGCAGAAAAACTTTTACAGTTGCAAAACCAAACCGTACAGTATGAAAACTTAGCACAAGAAAGTAAAAATAACGACGCGGCTATGCAAAAGGCAATGAAAAGCGCGGAATATATAAAAGCTAACAATGACTGGTTAGATGCCCAAGCCAACGCCAAAGCAGCCCAGCTTATAGGGTCAATAAGGACAAAAATACAAGCGGATGAAGACAGTTCAAATGAAACTTTAACAAATGCTGACTTTAAGAACGCCTTCGAAGCTCTTCATAGTAAGGTGAAACTAGTGAACGACTTCTCATCTGGAAAGAAACTGAAGTCTGAAGGTTTCGACAAAGAGTTAAAAGAAGTAGCACAAAATATGACGAAAATAACAGATGCAGCAACGAGACAGGCAGTTCAAAGTGCCTATGACGCCGTTAGAGCAACTGTTGTGAAAAGTCAAGAAAAAGAGTTACAACAGACCAAAACAGACCTAGTAAATGCTTTCTTAAGAACGAAAAGTCAGGTAGGACATTACGCTGCAGATGGAACATATGTGCCAGCTGGTGGAACTTATATACCACCAAACCCTCCAAGAGAAGCACCTGCACCAGGACTACCTAGAACATTTACATCGTCACATGGACACAGACACAGGCATGCACCAAAACCAACACAACAACCAGCACAACAACCACCTCCACAACCAGCACAACAACCAACACAACAACCAGCACAGCAACCAACAGTTCAAAACCCTGCACAACAACCACCTCCACAACCAGCACAACAACCAGCACAGCAACCAACAGTTCAAAACCCTGCACAACAACAACAACCACAAACAGAGCAAGGACATAAAAGAAGTAGAGAACAAGGAAACCAAGAATTCTTAAAAATGCTTAAAGAAGAGTGTGGTTTCCCAGATAGTATTGACTTTAGTGACAGATATAAAGAAGCTATTGGAAAGTTCAAGGATGGAAATACTGACCCGAACCTATTTAGCTTTATGGCTCAGCACCAAAACGGATATAATCTCAAACCTGGAAAATACAAGCTCGCTAAGGGATATGATTTAATAGCATATCATCCAAATGACATGGATGAATTTACTCCGAGATATTTGATGTCAGAGCTAAATGACAATTCAACTTTCGTCATGAAACGCGTAAAAAATAGAGACGGAACGAAAGAACAAAAGCTTATGAATGCGGATGACGTAGATAGGGAAATTGTTGAAAACGGTCTCGGAATATATGAAATGCCAGCAGATGAGGTACAAGAAACTCCACAGGAAGAAGTTCAGATACAACCAGACATGGAAGAAATAGTTCAGCAACAACAGCTAGAAGAGCCTGAAGGAAACGAACAAGTCCTTCCTTTGGAAACTAACTTCACAGAACTAGATGAAGATTTGGAACAGCCGAAAAATCTTGACCCTCAACAAGAGTATGCGGAGAATATGGAATATTTCCAAGAGTCTAAAAAAAATTCGGCTGACATAGTAGAAGAATATCGAAAAATGTTTGCCGACATACAAAAGACTCCAACACCAGATGAAAATATTCTGCATAGAATGGAAGTACTGAAAGAAAATGTACACAAATACAACAACCCTTTTTACTTACGAGCATTTAACGTTCAATCTTCGGATGAACTCGGTGAAAATAAAAGGTTAAATTTCAAGAAAACATATAGAAATGAAACATTGTTTAAAGTTCATTCAGAACCTAACCAAGATGGAAACAAACCTACTTTTGTTTCTGCAGACGATGGAACTACAATGAGATGGGGTCATAAAGCTAACCCGGATAGGTGGTTCATAAACTTACAACCACAATTCCAAGAAGTTGTAGACGCAATGGAAGTCAATGGTGAACGAGATATAGCTGGTATTTTAAGCGCGGCTTTAATGCCATTGAAAGATATGAAACATGCAGATATTTTGGACCAGTATGAAATGAACATGGCTGATGGAAATATAACACCTGACGTTCTAGAACATTTATCTCAAAGAACTACACAGAACCATAGAGATGGTATATTTGGTGAAGAGTTTAGAAAGAGAGTTAGGGAGAGAGAAGGAAGAGAACCTATTGTACATGACCTTGCAAACGAAAGTTTACAAAATGTCATAAAAACTTACTTTGCAGGCGATGAATCGAGAAGGGATGAATATTTAAGAAAACTCAAATGGACAGTACCAAATGAAATGTTAGTATTGAAAAACATGTTCCTTGACAAAATAAAACCAACTACAGAAATAAACGACGCAAGACTGAAAGATTGGGTAAAAGCTTTCCCATTCACAAAAGATATAATTGGTAACATGGAAAGAAAACCAGAATGGCTACAAAAACATATATTTGGAAACGAGCATATTCCATATGGCCAGGCACTGTTTGAAGAGCTTGAACCGGAAACTCAGGAAAGAGTCATGCAAACAATACGCGAAGACTCAAATACAGACTATGACAAACTCTTTCTAGGATATAGGTTACCTGAGATGGGCGACCAGAGTCCAAAGGCAAAAAGGGCATGGAAAATTTGCAACATACTAGATGAACATGAGGCAAAGATGCAACAACTTCAAGCAGAGGGCAATGAAGGAAAAAGAAGAGTTAAAAACTCAGTCAGGAAGAAAGTAAAGCTTGGTCCACGTGGGTTCTATTATGACATATAAATCCAACTATTCTATATTTTTACTCATATGAAATGTACGCCGCTCAGAATATAACGCCAACAGTTTTGGATGCTATGAATGGAAATGTTTCCGAATGGTATAACGAATGCGACAATGCCATTAGAAGGTCAGAAATAGTTCCTGGAACTTACGAATATACAACTGCTGTTTCTTATGGAAACGTAGGTGAGTTTGGAGAAGGTTCTTCAACAACAGTAGATATTGCTTGCGACAGGTTTCATATTATTTCTATTGACAACTCATTCTTATACGTGGAACAAGACATGATTGAAATAAAACCTTCTGCCAAGTTGTCTGACAAGAAAGGTTGCAATGGAATTTTCTATGTCGGATACCAATATGCTCCAGAAGTTTTCATGGGATATAAGATATATTCTAACTCTGACTTAGTTCAAACAGTAACATGGGCAAACTATGAATGGTTCGCTTTGAGAAACTCAGTACAACCACAAGCTAGAGAACAAACAGACCAGTATGCAACTATTGAGAAAATAAGAAGACTTGACCCTAACGTTCCAGGAGTTTATGTTAACCTTTCTGGACAAAATGCAGCAGCAGTAACCAAAGTAAAATTGAAACTTAGAGTTCCTTTGTCATCTTTCCTCATCTTCAGGTTTTTAAGATACTTGCCAAACTGGGCAGGAAAAATTTCTATCGAACTTACTCCAAGCAAAAATAACTTAGTCATTGCACCAACACAAGACCCATTCACTCTTACAGAAGTAGTGGGAACAAATAAAATGTCATTCGCCGACTTTTGCAAAAACAAAGTTGACTTAGACTTTGGTTTCTCAAACCTCAACACTGAAGTAAACTATTATTTCAATGCTGCTGGAGATGCTTGGGACCCAGTTAAGTTCACATGCGAAAAATTTGAATGCAAGAGAATAGAAAGCAGACTTGCAGTCTATATGTTGGACCCAGATATTTCAAATGCTTTAGCTGCCAAATATATTGCAGTTCCACTTATGTTCCCTATACACCAAATATCTGTCAAAGACTTTGCAGGTGAAGTTGGAAACCAAAGTGCTGACCCAGGTGCAAGAACAGATATTGCCTTAACAACTGCAATGAAACATGCAGATACTATGTTTGTACTGTTCAGACGAACTATAAATGACTATTCTTGCTTCTACAACCCCGGTATTAAATATCATATAAACATAGATGGCAAATACTATCCAAGAGAAGAATATTCTACAGTTGAGGATATGAGGTCATACAACTTGACATTAGATGCTATGAACTTTAACAACAACTTCACAACAACCATTAACCCTGAAATGCAAAGTTCTATTATGCCATATGTGAAAGTATGGACTCATACAGGAGCTCAAAAAACTCAATATACAAATGGAGACCGTTCAAACTTTTGGCTTGGCATTCCATTTGCTGACTCAGAAGACTTTATGGGTGGTATTTCAACTGTTGGTACAGTTCAAATACAATATACTGGTGACAGAGACGGTCCAGATGAATTGAAAGCAAAGAAGTTTACAAAACCAATAGCACTTTTCACGGAAGATGCTCTTTTGAAGATTCGTTCGATGAAACCTGCTGGGGCTCCTCAGATTGGTATAACGACAGCTTCCATCGAGCAGATTTTGGCAGCAGGTCAGTAAGTTGTTCTTGAACTGACTTCTCTCCGTCAAATATTGACAGTACGCCAGTTTTGACATAATATTGTATTATAAACTTTCCTTTAGAAATATCGGTCAGTTTTGTTGTTATATTTTGTCTGCTTCAAGAACTTTACCATTTCGGTTATACGACTTTCTTTGCTTTATGAAAATATTTTGGTTCAGCAAAGACTGCTATTCTATAACATTTTCCATTGTTTGTATAAAGAACTATTCTGTCAATGTATTTGTATTGTTTGTGTGTGTAAACTTTGTTCTGCTTCAATTCGAAGAGATACTCAAATACGTCCTCTTTTTATTCTAAGTAAAATGTCATTTCCGAAAAATAGAAGCGTAAGTGTTTTCAAAAGGTTTAATGGCGGTGGCAGATGTGAAGTTTAAAATTCAAACGTCAAACAAAACAGTCAAAGTGTTATTGTCAATGTCAAAGAAAGAGATGTTGAAATGGGGAAACATACGAAGACCAAGATGGTATAACAATAGTTCCTGTAAAAGAACAACCAACATACCCTGAAGTTAGGAGAGACTTAAGTTCTGTTGGCAGATATTCGAAATGACTACCAACAACTTAAAGACAAACTTAAAACTCAGGAGAAGATTTGTCAAGCTTTAGGTATAATGTTAAACTTGGTCGAACACAACCCTGTAAAAGTGAACTCATATGTCATTGCACCTCATGAAGTTTTGAAAGAACTATTGAAATTTTGACAGAGGCAGACGATATAACATCAAAGAAATAGAACCCGACATTGCTTGCTGTGGTGTTTCATATAATGTCATTGACAAGATATACGTTATGAAAGGAGGTGAAACGTTGAACTTAAAGTATAGTTTCCCAGACGTCATAAAAATATTTGACGACCACAACATTTCATTAAAATTATTTGCTAAGTAAATGGCAGAAGATATAATGGTTTATACTATTACGACTAAAAACCCTTGAGTCATATAATTCTAATAACAACAAACTTACAAAGTCCTCAAGGACGATATTGTAAACTAACTTAAACACAATGAGCGACTAAAGCCTGTTTTGCTCTTTTTGACACCAGAAGATTTTATTGTTGTGAATGGTAAAATAATACTCCTTTGAAGATACTTACTCAGATATACCACCAACAGGTTTTGTTGACTTATTTAATACTTTAAGGACGAGTGTAAGCATGTGCTGCAACTAGAGCAGGTTTCATTATGTTTGGATGTCCGACTGAGTTTACTATAAACGATATGAGCTATAATACAAAAACTTATTTTCTGGTTTTTTACTACCAACAGTTTCCTATAAAGGAAAAGGTGTCATACAAGGAATGTCTATTCCATTGACATTAAGCACACCAATCTTATATATTGTTTCAAAACTTAGGTTCAAAGTGTTATTCGAATGTTGACAGAAACTATTATGACAAAAGATACTTATGCGTATAAACAATACTTTCTCTGCTGGTTTGCCTATTGTTCATTCGAATGCAGAATTTTCAACCTTAGTGAACTCAAACACTTTGGCAAGTATAACGTTGACATTAGTTGAGCAAACTTTTGTTCCTGTAAAACCTTTATGTCCTATGTATTTGTCAATGACGGCAGAAAGTTTCGAATTGGAAGATGCAACTGGTGAAAGTATTGTATTACAAGAACAACTTCAACAACAAATAGCTCAAGAACAACAAATGCAACAAATGGAACAACAAAGTCAAGAATAAAAAAATAATATTTTTTTATTTTTATAAAAATGTACAGAATAGATGTTTCAGATTTTTATGACTTCCAAGCATTCAGAAATATGTGTCCATTTAGAGACTAAACAAAGCAGTCGAGAATTTGAAACGTTTTAGTCATTTATGTCGACTCTGCCCCAGAATGTTATGTTATGAAAGAATGGGATGTTGTCTTTAACAAACCAAGAGCAACAATAGTTTCAGAACAAGAATGTAGACAGAAACTTAAGAAAATAAAAGTTGTACAAGTTGGCATGAAGATGTTAGATGCTTGGGATATCTTATTGTCAAAGTTAGAAGATTTTTCAGTTCGTGGTATAAAGTTCTATACACCTTCTCCAAACTTCTATTCTATCTTCACTGGATATAAATACGAACAAGTAGAATGGAAAGAAAATATTATAGAAGCTTGGTTAGACCATGTCAAAGAAATTATATGCAATGGAAACGAAAAGGTTTATGAGTATATCTTATGTTGGTTTGCAAATATCTTACAACATCCAAGTGCTAAAAATGAAACTGCTCTCATTATAATTGGAAAACAAGGAACAGGTAAGAACACATTCTTTACAGATATCTTATGCAAACTGTTAGAGGGCTATTCGAACCCTAATATGACAAACTTAGAAAACATCTGCGGTAAATTTAACTCTTCAATTGAGAATATGAAACTTATAGTTTGCAATGAACTTCAAAGTATAGATACAACAAAAGTTTTGAACTCAGATGCTTTGAAGAGTCTTATAACAGACAAAGTTGGAGTTGTTGAAAGAAGTATAAAGACCAAAGAGTTTGTGAAAATGTTGCAAACTTCATTATGGTTTCAAACAACGCCGTTCCGATGAAGTTAGAAAGTTCTGACAGAAGATATGTAGTTGTCAGAACGTCAGATTCTCATATGCAAGATACAGAATATTTTGACGACTTAGCAGAAACTTTGACACCTAACTTTTACAACCACTTGTTCTCATATTTTATGACATTAGATATTTCAAAGTTCAATCCAAGACAAATTCCATATACCGAAGAGAGACAAACATTGTTAGAAGCAAACAAGAGTGTTTATGAACTATTCGTAGATGAAACTGACTTTGTGTCATTAGATGAAAGGTCATTGTACGATTCGTATAAACAATATTGTCAAGAATATGGTTATATGACAGCTTCTAAACGAACATTCTTGGCAAATGTCAAAAGTCTTTTAGATGTTCAGAACGGCGTATATACAAAGAAAAATTTTTCTGAGTAAATTTTATAAAAAATATATATTTTTATCCGATAGAAAAGATGGCAAAATTCATCTCAGTAAACAAGTACATGTCAGGACTTAAAGAAGAACTAGACCCATTCGCTTATTTGAATGTTTACTTCTACCATTTTGAAAAGTCTTCATTCAGCAAAGTTTGGAACATCGAACCAGTTAAGTTTGCTATTGTGACTAAAAATGGTGCGAAATTTGAAGACTTAGACATAGAAGGTTTGTTAGCAGTCAAAGAAAATTTTGACAGAAGGTTCTCAAACCTTAAAGAAGGCAAAGCATACAAACTTGTTATACCTTATGAACCAAAGAAAGCAGACGACTATGAATATTATGAGTCTAAGATAGTTGAAGTTCAAGGTAAATTGGGTAAAAAGATTTTAGAGTCTAAGCCAGTGTTTGCTCCTAAAGAGGAAGAGAACATTGACATTGACCCAGAAATGTTCTAAAAATAAAATTTTATTTTTACATGTCAAATTTCTTTTTCTCTGGAACTGGCTTCTGGTTCTTTCTTCTCTTCTTCTACTTTCTTTTCTTTCTTTTCTCTCTTCTTCTTCTTTTCTGGTGGAGTTATGTCAAATTTGGCGCAACCATATTTATGTAAAAGTTCTTTGTCCTTTAATAGCTCTTCTATTTGTTTTCTATTTCATCTTCAAGAACAGCGCATGTGCCTTCTTTGCATTCTAAGAACTTTTGTTGGACTTCATCTTTCCAATCGGCGTCATCTCTGTCAACAAGTCTGTCATTGACAAATTTTAAGACTTCTCTGCTTAATGTTTTATGGTTCTTGTCATATTCCCAGAAACAGAACTTTAGAACAAATTCACCTTTCTTGTTTACACTATGTAAGATTTTATGGTCGACAGATGTTTTGCTGTCAAAAAGCTTGTCTCGAATATAGATAGCGAAATCGCTAGACATTTTCTAAAAGATAAAATTTTTAATTTTTCTAAAAATATGTTAGAAAAAAAGTTTGCTGACATTGACAAGAAATTTGAGAATGTTTTGAAGAAGAACAAGAGGAAGTTAGAAAATGCTCAGATAAAACCTATACATGACAAGTTCTTATTTGCTCAGAATGGTATAACAGGTCTAATTGCACCACCTGGGTCGGGTAAGACTTTCACTTATCTTAAAAATGGCTGCACAACAACAAGAACTAGATGAGAAGAACCCATTCTATGAGTTAGTTGTCATTTGTAGTACTTCTGGTCAATTTGACCAAACCGTCAATTCGTTCAAAGATATTATAAAGAAGTCTAAGTTAGTATGTATAAAGGATACTGAGTTGTTAGATTGGATAAAGAAGTACCAAAGAAGAGTTTTGAAGTATAATGCTATAAATGAGTATGTCAATTCGAAGTTTAAAGACCCAAATGAGGAAATGCAGAGAATATTAGAGAAGAAACACTTCAGAAACAAACAGAAAGAGATAGAATACATTTCGAAGAAATTGCAATCTTACGATTGGAAGACATACCCTCATAGATGTCTTCTTATCTTAGATGACTTTGCTTCTCATCCTTTGTTAAAGAACAGAGAACAAGACATGTGTCGAATTCTTAAGAAGCTCAGACACTTTAACATCTCAGTCGTAATATGTGTACAGACAGCCAAGAGTTTAAGTAAGGATGTAAAGAGAATACTTACTGACATTATACTTTTCCCCGGATTGTCCGAAGACGATTTCATGGAACTTATGAAAGAGTCCATGGCAGGTAAGTTTGACAGACATGAACTATGGGAGAAGTACAAAGTCATACAAGACCCTCATACTTCTTTCAGAATTCATATCTACGCAAACAAAGTTCAAATTGTAAAAAGTCAAGCGTAAAAAATCTAAGTGTTTAGTCTTAGTAAGTCTGTCGGATGGAAGAGTTCTTCCTGTCGGATGGAAGAGTTCTTCCTGTTGTCGGGAAGAGTTCTTCCTGTCGGATGCAAGAGTTCTTCCAGTTGTCGGGAAAATATTTTTCTGTCGGATGGAAAAACTTTTTCTGAAGTTCGACCAAAAAGTTCTCAATTTTCGAAAATTTGAATGGTTTACGGACGAACAACAAGAAAAATTTTTCCAGTTGGAAGGAAGAGTTCTTCCAGTTGTCGGGAAATTTTTTTCCTGTTGGAAGGAAGAGTTCTTCCTGTCTGATGGAAGGACTCGGAATGCCAGAAGGATTTGACGAGGCAATTTAACTTATAGAGCTACCTGAGCCATCTTTGGTGTCAAGCGTAAAAATAAATGGTTCATCTACTCTACTTGTTTGAAGTTGTCAAAATACTCTGTTATTTTTTTCCTTTAACAATGGCAAATCTTCTTTGAAGGTAAGTATTGTACAACCTTTCATATCATAGTGTGTTTGAGGTAACGTATCTTGAACTATTTGTTTCACATCTTCATTCGGTGTCATTGAAATCGGTAAGTTTTCGCGATAGAACCAATTTCTGTCAGATTTGTAAATCTTAGCAAGGTCGTAAAAGCTTTTGTTGTTTCTTCTGACTAAATGCAACATAACCATATCTTTATCTTCTTCATTTTCCATCTCTTCAGTATAAATCATATACTTATAGTTCTTTTCCTTTCCTTTTGGTACCGAACGTGGTATTCTTTTCTGAATGCTTTTGTCTTTTGCTTCAAGCTTGTTTTCCATCTCTTCACGTTCTTGTCTATGAATTTCATCTAACATCATGAAAATATAACAAGCGTAACGAGGTGAAGCCCACATTGCAACAGCATTTACAAGAAGTCTATGTACATAATATCCTCTCAAACCGTTTGGCAATTTTTCACGATTTTCGTACGGAATCTCGACCCGCGGTTTTCTACCGGTCGCAAACATATGAGGAAATTCTTCTAAAAGTTCTTTTGTCTGTTGGTTTTCAAACCAATGACGTGCTTGCTTTGTAGAACGAAGAGCAGTCAAAATACTTTGCATTTGGTACATATCGTCTTTGACCGAACGAATGAGACGGAGTTGTTTGTTAAACTGAACCCACTCATATTCTTCATTTATAGCTTCATGGACTATAACTGTTGTTGTGTTCTCTGTTGTTGACATATCTGTCTTTACATACAAAATAAAAAAATAAATAAAAATAAAACTAACTTTATTTTTTCTATCTTAAGGAAATTCATGATTTTCATGAGTTTTATGCAAGACCAGGATTTCTTACCTACTCGCTGTTCTTCATGATTTTCATAGAGTTTTATGCAAGACCGAAGGAAGTCGGTCTAGAGAAATTTCACTGTTTTCATACGTACTCGCTGTTCTTCACTGTTTCCGAGGGTAGCAATCTTATGCCATTTTACTCAGAATTTTGTTGCTGAATTCAATAAAAATATATTTTAGGTGAAGAGGTGAGATTTCACCTCTTTTTTCACCTCTTTTTTCACCTCATGAATTTTCATGATTTCATCGTAAATGTTTTGTCAAAACTTCTTCGTAATGAGCGTAAATGACCCAAAAATAATGTTTAGGTGAAGAGGTGAGATTTCACCTCTTTTTTCACCTGTTTTTTCACCTCAGTTATTTTATAAGCGTTTCACATGGTAAACGTTATTTTTTAAATTTTGTGAAAACTCAACGGTTTGACACAAGCCCTAAAAATTATTTTACTCAGAATTTTGTTGCTGAATTCAATAAAATTATTTTAGGTGAAGAGGTGAGATTTCACCTCTTTTTTCACCTCTTTTTTCACCTGTTATTTTATAAGCGTTTACATGAATTGTATGATGTATATTTGAAATCCTAAACAATTTCGTAGCTTCTATTTCTTCTGTCAGTACATCGAATGTTTTAACGATACCGAAAGTTTCTTTATACTTCTTCTTGACGTCAGATAGAAGGAAATCTTCTGCTGTTGGATAGTTTTATTAAGAAATGTCAACATATCCATTTTATCTTCTGCTGGCTTTTCTGCTTCTTTCTTTAAGTCTGCATAGTCGTTTCGCATTCTTTCTATCTCTTTGACTGAGTAGTTATATTTCCTCATTGCTGCTTTACATTTTGAACATTGCGGTTCATTTTTGCGTTATATTCTGAAACCTTACCTGCTAAAACAACTAAGGCGTCAATTGCTCTCTTCATCTCGAACATAGCGGGTCTTATTTGTTCGTTCCATACCTTACCTCTTCTATCTTTATCTCTTATTTCCCAAACACATTTTGCAACTAATGAAACAAAGTTGTCGTAGGTCTTAAATTCTTCGGATTTGTAAAGGTCAGAGATGTTCTTATATAACATGTCGCAATCTTTGTCCATAACTTTATGGTTGCAATGAAAACCAAGGAATTCATAATTTACCTTTCGTATGAACTTCTTTATTTCTACTGAGTCAGTAACTTTAACTTCAATTTCGTCGAATTCAGGAATAGTGAGTTTTTGTTGTTGGATTTCAGGCAATTTGGGTAAATGGTCAATAATGTCCTGCATTTCATAAAGATACTGTTCATTTGTTTCATCTTTCGCACTACAGTCTAAATTACTTGTTAAAAGTTCTTGCTTTATCTTCTGGATTTTTGTTTCGAAAGTATATGAAGAAGGAATGAAGTTTTTCATCTTTACTAACATTGAAGTTGGGTTCATGACTAACGAGTTTGGTGAAGTTGTTGCTAACATGTTCTTACAATAAAAATAAAAAATATTTTTTTTAAAAAAACTAACTTTATTTTTTATTTCGGGAAAATTCATGAGGTGAAAAAACAGGTGAAAAAAGAGGTGAAATCTCACCTCTTCACCTAAAATATATTTTTGCCGAGTTCAGCAACAAATTCAAGAGTTTTGTGTGTTTTCTACGATGGTAGAAATGAGGGTGAAAAAACAGGTGAAAAAACGGGTGAGATCTCACCTCTTCACCTAAAATATATTTTTGCTGAAAAAAAATGGTTCATTTACTCACAATATTTTTGTACAAAACGACCCCAAACTTTTAACCTCTCTTCTGCAGCTTCTAATGAAATTTTAGCGAGTTCATATTCTCTAAATTCTCTCTTTAAATCTTCTTGTTCCCATTGGTCTAGTTCGTATGGAGAATCTCTATAACCAGAACATATCTCACGTTCATGTTCTATTTGTTTTTCATGCATTTTTCTAACTTCTTGTTCGAACAAAGGTTTTGCATTCTCTACTGTATCTTCAAGTTCTTCTTCATCTAATTTCTCATGAACTTTCTTGTCTATGGAGTCCAGAATTTTTCCAACTGCTATACAATATTTTGGAGAAGCCCACATTGCTATATAGTTTACGAGTCTTGGGTCTACATACATTCCTCTAACCTGTTTGATTTCATCCGGAATTCCTGCATGAATTTTGTATAAAAAGCAACCCGCTGTTTTCCGCGGTTGGTATATTCTTCACAAAATGCCTTAAAATACTCTTCCAGGACTTATTTTCCAACAACCTTCTAAAGTCTTTCCTAAACTGCTGACACATCTTTGTTGCATTTATATAACCATCCTTGTCTCTACGTAAGACTTCAATACCGTTGTAAGTGCCTTTTGTGAATGTTTCGCCATTAGATTTGTTCGTGAACGTTTTTGCTTCGACTGTCATTTCAGTTCTTACAATAAAAATAAAAAATATTTTTTTAAAAAAACCAACTTTATTTTTTATGTTTTTTTGTGAAAGTTTCGACAAAGCATATACCTTCATGTTTGACAAAACATATACGAAGAAGAAGTTTCGACAAAACATATACGAAGAAGTTTATTTCCTGTGTTGTTGTCAAAATGTCATGTTGTCTCATTTTTTCAGAGAAGTTAAAATAACCGAGTGACACATAGTGACATAGTGACACCTTCAGTTCTTCACCTAAACTTTTTTTTCTGTCTTAAGGAAATTCATGAAAATTCAACGGGTGAATTTTGTATAAAAAGCAACCCGCTGTTTTCCGCGGGTTGGTATATTCTTCACAAAATGCTTGTTTTTGAGGTCGAGCCACTTTTGGCTCCACCTCTTTTTTCACCTAAAATATATTTTTGTGCTATGTTTTCAGCACAAAACATATACGATGAAGTTTATTTCCTGTGTTGTTGTCTAAATGTCATGTTGTCACACTTTTTCAGAGAAGTTAAAATGACCTGGTGACCTGGTGACCTGGTGACACCTAAAAAACCACTTCACCTAAAATATATTTTCTATCTTAAGGAAATTCATGAAAATTCATGAGGTGAAAAAAGAGGTGAAAAAAGAGGTGAAATCTCACCTCTTCACCTAAACATTATTTTTCAATACTTTTTCAGCACTTTTCCGTAGTTATATATGAAAGACAATTCGAGATAAAAGTCATAGTACAATGGAATAATATGTTGCACACCATTTGTTGTGAACCAAACTTGAAAGTCAGAGAAACTGTTACTAGGTGGTTCGTAGAATTTAGAAGCAAAGTCATAAAAGTCCTTACCAATACATAGAAAACTATTGTTGCTTGAACTGAAACTTGCATGACACATAACATTTTGAGGGTCAAACACGTTTCTATAAACTGTCAAATCTGCTGGTGGACGTATAAATTTAAATGGACCATCTGGTGGTAATGGTTCGTTCTGGTTTAGTAACCGAAGAAATTGTGCCCAAGAACGTTTGTCTACTTCCCAAAATAAAAACTGTGTATCTCTTGGAGGGTTAATTTCAATCCTTTGAAATAAAACGGTGGAGTTCATCTTGTCATATTCTAGTTTTAGATAGTATGTTCCATTTAGTAAAGAGTCGTATTTTTCTTGAAATTCCCAATAGTATTTGTTCATTTGAGTTTGAAAGTCATTTAGAGTTTTCTCAAGACTTTCGTCTGTAACAAACAAGTTTTCCAACGGTCTTCTCCAACAAACTCAGCGTACATTTCAAATAAAATAAAAATATATTGTTTTAAAATTGTATGCCATATAGCTTCTTGAATTTGTTAAGATATAGTCTAATGTATTTTCCATCTGTATCTCTAGCGTTTACATAAGCACAGCCTTCCTTAGTAAAACATACTTGTAATTTCCTATAGTTTACGCCGGTATAAAGGTAGAAAGAGTCCTGTTCTTCGCTATAGTAGTAAAACTCAAACGTATGCTTACCATAGTCTGTAATTTCAATTGCTTCATCTTCTAGTTCGTCGACAAATTCGAATACAATATCTCTAAATTTGCTTTTGTTCTTATTGTTTTCAGAACAAGTGACCCAACGTAAGTTTTCAAGTCTATTGTCGTTTCTTATACGGTTTATATGGTCTACAAAAGGTAAATTGTTAGGGTTTGGTATAAAATGAGTTGCAATGACAACATGTTTAAGATAGTGTTTTCCACCAATCCTCATCCTAGCATATCCGTCATTTTGCTCCCATTCGCTTAAAACTCTTTTTGTCTTTTTGTTTCTGACTTCAAATGACTCACAACAGTGAATTTCATATTTCTCATCTAACAAACAAGTTTTCCAACAGTCTTTTCCAACAAACTCAGCGTACATTTCAAATAAAATAAAAAAATATATTTTAAAAAAAATATTTTTTTCTTTACTTTACATAACCACCCGCTGCCAAAAGTCTTTGACGCCAACCCATACCAGCTAATGAAGGTTGAGTTGGTTTAGTTTGGAAACTAAACTTTGGTTTTGGTTTATCTTCAGTTTTTGGTTTTTCTTCAGTTTTTGGTTTTTCTTCTTCTATCAGTTTTTCGTCACTTTTCGGTTCCTCTGACTTTACCTCACTTGCAGGTATGGTTGTGTCGTCAACATCTTCATAAATATCATATGCCATTTGTTTTTGTTTTCCTTTCAACTTTTTGTGTTTGTTGTAAAGTTTAGAATATTTCGACTCTAAGTCAATGAGATGTTCTATAATGAACTGTTGGTCAGTGAAGTAAACTTTTCCATCTGTTGTCTCGAAAGCTCCTTCAGACTTCAATATTTTATTTGTGAGAGTCTGTTTCTTTTTTGAGATACTAGCCGTTCCATTTCTATGAAAAGTGACTTTGTAGTTAGGGTTTGTATTTCCAGACCTGGCACTTTCTATTATTGAATTTTTCTCTTCATCTGTAAGTTCTTTGACAGGTTTTGACAATGGTTCTGAACTTTTTGTTTGTGGTGTCAAATCTACCGTTTCAACTTCTTCGGTCATTTCATCTCAGTAAAAAATTTTAGTTTGGTTTGTTTTCAACTGGTTGTTGTTGTTTTTTAAGTCGGTCTAAAACTTCCTGAGGTATAGGAAGAACTTGACAAACACGTTGTGTAACTGCTGGAAGTCGACAAATCCATCTTGAACCCATTTGTCTCAATGCTGTATTGTTCATTTCATCTCAGTAAAAAACTTTACATTCCCCAAGTTTGAGGTGGTTGCGGTTGGTTATTGTTTACCCACTGTTGTGCATGGTTATATCCTCTGTTAAAGAATCTTTCACCTTGGTCCATATAGTGTCCTGCTTGGTTATAGTAGTCATTTGCTTTGTTATAATAGTTTCCTGCTTCTCTTCCTACATTGTCCATCCATCCTTGAACTTTTCCTCTTGTTTCAGGATTTGGAATAAGATTTGTTGCATCTCGTGCTACATCCCAACCTTTCTGTACAGTTTGTATAATAGGTTGTGCTTTCTCTTTAAGTATACCTAATGTACTCAAAATCTTCCTTCCAATTCCAAATGCACCTCTGGCTATTGTTCCCACTGCGGGTAAAAATCTGGATGCAACTCCTGCTAATGCGCCAAATAAACCCATTTCTTATGGGTTAAAAAATGACGAATCCAAACAAGGACCCCTATGTTTCTAAAGCGACAAAGAAAGCACTCATGATAAAAATCTTTAGTTCAACACCAAATGCTTGGTTTATGGATATCTTGGAAAACATTCCGAGAGTTAGAACAGATGGACCTCCATACTGGTTAATATTTGTTGGTCAAAACACAAGATACTGTGAAGCCATACCATTACAGTCCAAAAATATTTTAGATATCTTAGCAGCTTTGGACAATATTCGTTGACAAATACCATCCAACAAAACTGACATCTGACTGTGAAAGTTCTTTCAAATCAGATGATATTAAAAACTATCTGCGTTCAAAAAATGTAAACCAATATTTCATTGTCGACCAAAACCATTCTGCTCTTGGTGTCATTGACAGTTGTATAAAAATCTTAAGAGACTTAAATCAACCACAAGGTGGTGAGGTAGATGAAATGTCATATGACGACAAGTATAGACATTTCTCCATGGCAAAGATGAGACAAGTTTTAAATATTTACAATAGCCGTAAACAAAAAGGTTTGGGAAACCACTCCCCCGAAGAAATGAAAACAACCCCGACTTAGAGAAAGACTATATATTTAATAGTTTAGTCAAAAGAGACAAACAAGAAAGAATGCCAGGCTTCAAACTTAAGAAAGGTGACAAAGTAAAAATAGAAATACCTAAACGCGACCCATATGAAAATACTATTGACTATGACAACAATGGGAACTCGACAGGTACTCACATTCGTGTTCGTAAAAATAGAAGAAAGTATACAAGAGAATATTATGAAGTTTTAGGCAAACATGGCAAAATGTACAGACTGCAAGCAGAAGATAAAACTACTATTGTCAGACCTCGTTTCAAACTTGTCAAAGTTCAAGGTGGTATACTTTCAAAGACAGTTCCTAACAAATAT